TGTGTGTGTGTGTGTGTGTGTGTGTGTGTGTGTGTGTGTGTGTGTGTGTGTGTGTGTGTGTGTGTGTGTGTGTGTGTGTGTGTGTGTGTGTGTGTGTGTGTGTGTGTGTGTGTGTGTGTGTGTGTGTGTGTGTGTGTGTGTGTGTGTGTGTGTGTGTGTGTGTGTGTGTGTGTGTGTGTGTGTGTGTGTGTGTGTGTGTGTGTGTGTGTGTGTGTGTGTGTGTGTGTGTGTGTGTGTGTGTGTGTGTGTGTGTGTGTGTGTGTGTGTGTGTGTGTGTGTGTGTGTGTGTGTGTGTGTGTGTGTGTGTGTGTGTGTGTGTGTGTGTGTGTGTGTGTGTGTGTGTGTGTGTGTGTGTGTGTGTGTGTGTGTGTGTGTGTGTGTGTGTGTGTGTGTGTGTGTGTGTGTGTGTGTGTGTGTGTGTGTGTGTGTGTGTGTGTGTGTGTGTGTGTGTGTGTGTGTGTGTGTGTGAGTGTGTGTGAGTGTGTGTGAGTGTGTGTGAGTGTGTGTGAGTGTGTGTGAGTGTGTGTGAGTGTGTGTGAAAGTGTGTGTGAAAGTGTGTGTGAGTGTGTGTGAGTGTGTGTGAAAGTGTGTGTGAAAGTGTGTGTGAAAGTGTGTGAGTGTGTGTGAGTGTGTGTGAGTGTGTGTGAGTGTGTGTGTGTGTGTGTGTGTGTGTGTGTGTGTGTGTGTGTGTGTGTGTGTGTGTGTGTGTGTGTGTGTGTGTGTGTGTGTGTGTGTGTGTGTGTGTGTGTGTGTGTGTGTGTGTGTGTGTGTGTGTGTGTGTGTGTGTGTGTGTGTGTGTGTGTGTGTGTGTGTGTGTGTGTGTGTGTGTGTGTGTGTGTGTGTGTGTGTGTGTGTGTGTGTGTGTGTGTGTGTGTGTGTGTGTGTGTGTGTGTGTGTGTGTGTGTGTGTGTGTGTGTGTGTGTGTGTGTGTGTGTGTGTGTGTGTGTGTGTGTGTGTGTGTGTGTGTGTGTGTGTGTGTGTGTGTGTGTGTGTGTGTGTGTGTGTGTGTGTGTGTGTGTGTGAGTGTGTGTGAGTGTGTGTGAGTGTGTGTGAGTGTGTGTGAGTGTGTGTGAGTGTGTGTGAGTGTGTGTGAGTGTGTGTGAAAGTGTGTGTGAAAGTGTGTGTGAGTGTGTGTGAGTGTGTGTGAAAGTGTGTGTGAAAGTGTGTGTGAAAGTGTGTGAGTGTGTGTGAGTGTGTGTGAGTGTGTGTGAGTGTGTTTGAGTGTGTGTGAGTGTGTGTGAGTGTGTGTGAGTGTGTGTGAGTGTGTGTGAGTGTGTGTGAGTGTGTGTGAGTGTGTGTGAGTGTGTGTGAGTGTGTGTGAGTGTGTGTGAGTGTGTGTGAGTGTGTGTGAGTGTGTGTGAGTGTGAGTGAGTGAGTGAGTGAGTGAGTGAGTGAGTGAGTGAGTGAGTGAGTGAGTGAGTGAGTGAGTGAGTGAGTGAGTGAGTGAGTGAGTGAGTGAGTGAGTGAGTGAGTGAGTGAGTGAGTGAGTGAGTGAGTGAGTGAGTGAGTGAGTGAGTGAGTGAGTGAGTGAGTGAGTGAGTGAGTGAGTGAGTGAGTGAGTGAGTGAGTGAGTGAGTGAGTGAGTGAGTGAGTGAGTGAGTGAGTGAGTGAGTGAGTGAGTGAGTGAGTGAGTGAGTGAGTGAGTGAGTGAGTGAGTGAGTGAGTGAGTGAGTGAGTGAGTGAGTGAGTGAGTGAGTGAGTGAGTGAGTGAGTGAGTGAGTGAGTGAGTGAGTGAGTGAGTGAGTGAGTGAGTGAGTGAGTGAGTGAGTGAGTGAGTGAGTGAGTGAGTGAGTGAGTGAGTGAGTGTGTGTGTGTGTGTGTGTGTGTGTGTGTGTGTGTGTGTGTGTGTGTGTGTGTGTGTGTGTGTGTGTGTGTGTGTGTGTGTGTGTGTGTGTGTGTGTGTGTGTGTGTGTGTGTGTGTGTGTGTGTGTGTGTGTGTGTGTGTGTGTGTGTGTGTGTGTGTGTGTGTGTGTGTGTGTGTGTGTGTGTGTGTGTGTGTGTGTGTGTGTGTGTGTGTGTGTGTGTGTGTGTGTGTGTGTGTGTGTGTGTGTGTGTGTGTGTGTGTGTGTGTGTGTGTGTGTGTGTGTGTGTGTATGTGTGTGTGTGTGTGTGTGTGTGTGTGTGTGTGTGTGTGTGTGTGTGTGTGTGTCTGTATAACGCATAACTCATGAACCGATACACGGAAAAACACCAAATTTCAAACTTAAGCTTTATTCCAGCGTCTAATGAGCTGATTAGATTTTGGGCAGAGTCGGAACATCTGGGGGGGGTACTTTATGGGTGGTCATTTTTATATTTTATGGAATATATCTGTTATTTACGTTTGGGGAAGAAAATTTTTTAAATAAAAGTTACTTCTTATTTTATTATCTATAATTTTTGTTATTTACAAAATTTTCCTAAAATGGTCCGTATTCGAGAAATTTGACAAAATGTAAAAAAATATTTTTTTTTATAAAAATTGTTCAAACAAAAGTTGTTTGTAATATAATTCTCTATAATTTTTGTCCCATAAATAATTTCTCTAAAATGGACCGTATTCGAGATATTTGAGAAAATGTGTAAATTTCGAAATTTGAAGAAAACTCAAAAACGGATAAAGAAAAAATCAATAAATTTTAAACTTAAGTTTTATTTCGGCCTGACGTGAAATGATTAGATTTTGGACAAAGTCGGAACATCTGGGGGGGTACTTTATGGGAGGCCGTTTATATATTTTATGGAATATATCTGTTATTTATGTTTGGAGAAAAAAATTGTTCAAATAAAAGTTACTTCTAATATTATTATCTATAATTTTTGCCTTATGTAAAAATTTCCTGAAATGGTCCGTATTCGAGAAATTTGACAAAATGTGCAAAATTCTGATTTTTATGAAAATTGCTGAAATAAAAGTTGTTTGCGATATCGATCTCTATAATATTTGTTCATACATGATTTTTTTTAAATGGACCGTAATGGAAAAATTGTAGGAAAAGTGCTAAATTTAAATTTTTCAGTATTTTCATTTTCAATGAATATCTATAGAAAAATGTTTCGCGGTAGATGTATGTGGACAATGTATATATTTAGTTTATCCTCTAAACATTTATAGAGATGCTGCAATAGGTTGTACACAATAAACGGAAAAAGCCAGTAATAACTAGGTAGGAAAGTCATGTGTTGGACACATCAGATTTTTAAAGAGAACGTTCTGGAACCTTCACCATAATGTTAAATTGGTATATAAATATTGGTGGAGAATAACGCTGTATCAGTTATTATATGGACAGTGAATATAAATAGTGAACAGTTTAGAGACATTCGAAATATATATAAATTAGAATAATAGTGTTATAAATAAATAAGTGTTTAAATAAATTATTAATAAATAAACTGTTGTTTAAAATAAACAACCGTCACAATATACATATTTTTATATCAGAATATTTAAACAATATTATTGGTTGATTATATTTATGATTTTTCTTTTTTATACTTTTATTTATTATTTTAAAAATGTAATTCCTGTATCAGGTGATGATGTTTCAACTATTTAGGTTCACTGAATTTTGATAATATTAATTTGGTAGATTCCGTAGCATGACTGCATAACAAACTTCTTTCCAATACAAATCAATCTGTCAGTTAATTGTTGTGATATGGTAGTCATGTTTAACTGAACGTATTTTAGGGCCAGTTTTTCAATGAAGGTTTAAACTGAGTTCAGCAAATAAACTGAGTTTAATTGAAAGATGATGAATTTCAAATGCAGTTCACGTCTGAACTTAATTTAAACTATCCGAATAATTGAACTGTCAAAGTTGAGCGTTTAAACTAAGATCAATGTTTTGACACTGACATAATATAAGCATATTTTACAATTTTTGTACATTTTATGTTCGAAGTAATAAGTGAAGACGATGTTGAAATTGTTACGTGTTTACTGTTTAATGCATATTAATGTACCATGTACCAAAAAAAATATGCAAGATTTCGTTTGTCTAATAAAACGGTTAACAGAATAATTGTCAAAACAGAAGGAGGACTTATAGATAATAACATTTATAATAACATATATTTTATTTTCTAGAAATAATGCTTTAACTCCTGTCATGGTTCTGTTAATTTTACGATTTTTTACATCAATATCTTTCTTAATTACCACCACCAAGTAGAGTACATAAGTTCAGCAATTAAGACTTACCAACAATTCTTCTTCATTGATCGAAAAATTAGTGGTCCGTCAATTTTTTCCATTTCATACAATTTTTCATCTTCACTGGTAATGTTTTTAAAAACGTCAGAAGTCCCTCGATTCAGAACTACCAATATAAATTGAACTTAGATCACCTGAACTGTGATACTGACATGATTGATAAACGGTATTGATGGTTATCTCAGTTCTATATTTGATCCAAGTTCAGGTAAACGAAATTTTAAACTGTGATTGAAAAACTGGCCCTAAGTATGTTACGGTGTACTTTATTCCAATTTCGGCATTACTAGATGTTTAAGAGTTACAGAATTTTGATGTTATTTTTTATTTTATAAGTATATACGTTATAAGTTTATTCATTGATAAATAGATTAAATCACTAGATAAGTTTATTAAATAAAAAAAAATATTTTACTTTATTTTATTTACCAAACGATTTACTCTGATAAAAAATAAGGAATGACATGAAAACAGACTTGATGACTTTTTTAACGAAAACTAAAAGTTTATTTTTAGTGCTTTGTTTGCATTATGGTATTTGCTAATTACTTATTTAATAATTGTCTTTGTTATTGAACTTGTAATTTTGGGCTTAATAGGATCCATTCCTTAGCCTTAATTTGTTTGTAATAATAATAATAATAATAATAATTATTTTAAAATTTTACATATATTTATGAGTTAGCTTGTGCTGACGCAGAAGGTCGAAGGCCGGCTTGGAAGCTTACATATATGAAGTTCATATAACTCACTACATTTTCACCTTATCCTATTTACTTTATTATAGTGTTTTATATTTTAGGTGAACGCTATATTGGATGTTATTTATTTGGTAGTCCAATTTTTATTCCTATTCATATAGATGTGATTAAAGAAGTGTTGAATACTCATGACCATTTTGATAGTCACGGTTTCTATTTCAATAAAAACCAAGCTATAACAACCAATGTGTTTTCATTAGCAGGGACTAGATGGAAAGAAGTTCGCGCTAAACTTACGCCAACTTTTACACCCGCTAAAATAAAAATGGCCTATAATTCTCTTTTAGATTGCAAACTGGATTTAGAAGTACTTCTTGATAATGCTTCCAAAAATAATCCCGTGAATATTAGCGATATATTAATCCGTTTTACAACTGATGTAATTGGTAAGTGATTAGTAATATTTAAAATCGTTTCAACAACTTTATAGTATTTTTAATACAAATACCGGTGCTTGTCATAGATCAGTTATGATGTCACGGCCTTGCAGTTTCGTGTAATCGTCACTAATCGTAAAATAGTTTTGAAATTGTAAGGTTGTGTTAATAAGAAAAATTAGTTTTAAACTCCGAGCAATTACTAATAGAGGGAGCGTGAAAACGAGTTTGTAGGCGATTGTTGTGTTAGCAACATCTGTAGAGGAAGTGAGGAAGCGGGCACAAGGGGGAAGGTAAACATCCTTCTTGTTCAGTGGCGTATCATTTATCTATAAAAACACACATTGTCCAAACGTTTTAATTGTAAAAAAAACTAAAAAATTTGCTAATTTTACTATATTTAAAAAGAATACCGTCTTATATGTGTCTAATGCAGAAAATGAAACAAAATCACTGTAACGGTCCAATTTTTTCAATTGAAGAATAAAACCTTAAAATCAATTTTATTATAAATAAATACAGTAGCGACTAGTTTCGGCCTTACAGAAACATCTTCAGGCCTGTATACAATAATCTTTAATTATTATAATTGGTTGGTCACTTACGAATAACATTAAATAGTATAAACCACAAAAATGGATCCATATTGTAGCGTTACAGCATTATAGAATGAAAGCTGTGAAAATAAAAGGGCAGTGCAAACGTAACTAAAAATAAGAAAACTGAGTAAGGAAACTACAAGAGATGAGAATGAGCAATTACGAATGCATTTAAATTGCTCGAGATAACAAATAAAGCTGATAATGTAGTGGTATAGTCCCCGTCAAAGAAGGTCTAGATATCTTAAAGAGGACGGCGTTTTCTCTGTAAATCTGGAGAATGTAAGGATGAAGGGAAGACGAATCTTGCTGGCTCAGGTGTAGATGAAAGTTCCAGTAAATATCGTCACTTTCGTCTAATTTTTTATTCTCTCTCACCGGCACCGTTTCGGCTTTATCTTCGAAATTAATTTTTAAAAGGAAATAAAAGTAATCATTCATACAAGCATATAATAAAACAATATGAATTCATTATATTTAATAAGCTAATAAACGTTTGTTTCAATGAAAAAAAAAAAACATATATGGGAATATAAGAAATATATAAATAGATAAGATTAATATCAAAATCAATTTGAAAATACAACAGATAATAAAATGAAATAAATTAATACAAGTACAAATGGAAAGTTAATAACATACCTTCTAAAAGTAACACATTTTAAGTAGATATATGTTTAAAGAGTTTATTCCTGAACATAACTAATCTAACGTTTTTTCCTCTTTTTAATATTATGAGGGTTTTTGTAGTTGAAATGAAAATTATAATTTATTTTGGTCCTAATAAAAATTTAAACATAGGTTATCAAAGAGTAAAATACATAATAAAACTTCATAATCTTAAATCGTTATCAAAAATTATTAATGGTAAAACTTCAAATAATAATTAGATTCTTAAACAAATTTCTAGTTTTTGTTTTGCAAAAGACTTTTTTGCCTTCATCGGTTGCCTCTGCCACTTTTCTTTTAGAAGTTTCGAGGAGAATTTTCCTATGGAAACTAGTAGAACCATCAATTGATTGGTAAAATTTTGATATTTTGAGTCTGGTAAGTCTTGTTAAATTTTCTTCTTAGGAAGCTGTAACCTAATGGAGAACAAAAATTTAATGTTAGATCAAAACCTCTTAATTGAGAATTATATTTGCAAAGGCCGTTTTAATAATATATTCAAAAGTTCTTGGAATCGTTGTTAACAGAAACCTGCAAAAAATATATCATTTTATTCCTAAAATATAAGATATCACACAATGCACATTCATATAATATCGTTGTGCTAGAAAAATACTAGGTAGGTACTGAGACAATTTAAAAAAAGTATTTCGAGAAACTCAACTTTTAATGTCATCATTGTACTTAACTTTTTTATTGCTAAATTATTAATAATGTCGTTTTGTGTAGTTCGTTGTGATTTGTATAATATTATAAAAACCTATCGTCAAAGTTAATGTGCCAAGTTTTTTTAATAATTATGTCCTTGTTATAGTAAAAAACACATTTTTAAAGTTTTCTGAATTTATGCTTTAAATTATTGTACAATTGAACTGACTAATTTTGTGTTTAAGTAAAGGTATATCTCTTTTTTGTTATAACAGTCTTTGTATATTATTCTAACTTTTAAGATAATTAGATGAAACAGTAAGACATCTTAATATATCCTATTTCACCAACAAAAATGTAGAATAATTAATCTCATATCAAACGAAAAAAGTCATTTTAGGATGTCCTAATAGGTTTTAACTTAAAAACTAAATAAAATGTATATTGCAACTGTGTTTAAATAAATGAATGTTTTTATACCTGACTATAGTACCAGATAAACACTTTTTTAGATCATAATGATCTGCATAACTCAAAATAGTCAAAATCCACATTATTTAAGTTGTTCTAGTATTGTTTTAGCATAACGATGTAAACTCCAATAATAAATATTCACATTTTTTTGGGACGTTTTTTAAGGAAATTACAAAAAAACATGAATAATGTGATATTCTTGTTTAGTATTGTACTATATAATATAGTTCATTAGGTAGTGATTTAGAAGCAAATTATGTTCTATTTATAGAATAAAAAATCACTCATAATATCTAAATATTTATACCTATTTATATTTTGGACAGGAAGACTATATTATGTTTTTGGCTCTGAATAGTTTTCTTAAAAATTTTAAAACCTTCCTTAACTCTTTTGGGATATTCCATGCATATCTTAGAAGTTCATTTTGTTTAAACCTAAAACAAATGAAGTACAAAAAATGAAAATTTAAACAATACACAAAATTAGTCTTTTAGATTATTTAAAAAAAAATGTCAACAAAAAAATGGCTATGCCTTTTTCCTTAAACATTCTTTTTGAAATAAACTTACTTGCTGTTTTAGTATTTTAGTAGCAGATGAATATAGTGTAGAAGTAGTGACAGGATTAATTATTATACTTCTTTCGTCGAAATTGCATTTTTCTTTAATATTTTCCTCCCCTGAGGTCTATAATAAAAATGTTCATTAGCATAAAAAGTTATTCAGGTGGTCACTTGTTGAATTCCTATATTTTGGAACCATGTATTTCTTTCTCATATCAAGAAAAGGAAACCTAAAAAAATAACAATAAACTTTACAAAGATGTGATATTAAAATAATAAGTAATTAACCTTTACTATAATCATTATGAGACAGACGGATGAAGACGAACTTAGCTGGAGTTTACTTGCTCTTAATTTTAATTTTTCGATAAGCAAATAAGAAAGTTTAATTGCAAATTAAAGGTGATTGCCTAATGCACCGCCTCTGATAATGAGGTTGTGTCTGTACTTACTTATGATATTATCTTGAAGAAGCATTTCCAACAGGCCTTTTATACATAACGCATGTTTTTACCATATTATTAGAGATAATAAATCTTAAATATACATTTACAACCCTTACAACGTTATAAATAATAATATTTTCCGTAAAATACAAATAAGAAATTGACATGTGTCAGAAAGTGTCAGAACTGGCGCTCACAGAACACTTCTGTCAAACTTGGCAACAGTGATTAAATAAGCCAATTACAGAAAAGGTATTTTCCCCCTCGGGAGAAGTAGATGTTGCTAACAAAATTTAGCGCGGGGAAGGGGGGAAGAGTCCCTCTAGTAGTAATTGCTCGGAGGTTTTAAATGTATATAACTAATGAAAAATATTACACTTCATTATGCATAATAAACATTAAACAAATATGCTGTAAAAATATTGCAAATAATCATGAAAAATAAAACTGTAAGGTAGTATATTGCAGATGAATCAAAATGGGTCCAGAATTAGCACAGACAATTTCTCAAATCAATTTCATTTCACCAAGAAATATATATAATAGAACTACATTTAAGCTATAAACCACAATACCGCAAGAAATTAAAGAGATCATTGAAAAAACTAAATCTACAAAGTCATAATACCAGTACAGATACCTATATTTAAAGAATTCCTATGCCTCTATGGCGCTATTTGTAAAATGCGGATAAAAACAAATTGTAAAAATTTTATTAAAAAAATGCTTTATTCCAAGCACATGGGAAATGAATAAACAAGATATGGCTTAGAAAAAGAACCAATAGCAATAAGTCACTTATATAATATGCATGTCGAAAATTGTGGTTTGTTTGTCGACCCGGATTTATGTTATTAGGAACTGATTATATAAGTGAAATTAAATGCCCAGCTTCTACTTCAAAGTTAACACCGCAGGATGCAATAAGGCAAAAAATTATAAAATATGTATTAATTGACGACAATAATAATATACATTTGAAACAAAATCACAACTATTTCTACCAGGTCCAGGGCCAGCTTCACATAACGAAGAGACAATGTTGTTTTTTCGTGGTGTGGACATTTCTATATCCGTCATTTTGGAACCCGACTAATATCAAATTAAAAAATATTTTTATGAATTAAAACTACAAACGATGTACATAATTGTAGTGACTTTTATTTTATTGTAGTTTTAAGGTTTTTACAAAAAAAAACTAATTAATTATAATTATAAATTAATTTAATATTATTATTATTATTATTATTATTATTATTTAAACCTGCTTAATTTGTATTTGGAATTGTTTGTAGTTTTATGTATTAAAACAAAAAATTTTAAAAAATAAAAAAAAATATTTTATATTGTAAAGTTCCATTATAAAAATCGAAATTATTAATTTTCACAGCAATTACTAAAAACTACAAACATACAAAATGATTGTAGTACTTTTAAATCATTTGTAGTTTTATGTAATAAACGAAAAACTTTGAAAAATAAAAAAAATATTTCTTAAGAGCAATCCAGTCCCTTCTGATGTCACACCGCACGAATCTTACGACCTCCCCTTAAAGTATTTGGAACCTTGTTCGCTACATAAATTTGGCAATGTTGTGTGTCGTACGCTGAAGGATAATCATATTGGGTAGGTCCGATTACAATTCAGGTATAATTCGTTGGCTATCGCCGCCTACTGGGGGTTAGTGACTTGTTAATATACGAATGTAGGAATACTATTTTTAAACCAAACAACTCAAATATTTTTTATTTATTGATAATTATAGATGATATACAGGGTGTCCTGAAATTAGACAGTCATATTTTAACAGCGTAATCTACATCCTGAAATAGTAGTAAAAGTTCATATAAACATAGAACCAAAAACTTTTCTTTTCCGAGATACAGGGTGTTAAAGGTGAAGTCCTGATACCACACTTTTGTAAATATATTCTAAACGTTTAAAGATAATTAGGTAAAATTTGTAACAAATACTTACCTTCTTACGCTTCATTTATTGGACTAAACCCCAGTTATTGATCATCTTCTTAGGTGGGTAAATTAGGGGGAGCTTAGGGTAAAATTGCCGTGTGTGTCTGTGTGTCTATTTCCACCATAACTCATGAACCGATACACAAAAAAACACTAAATTTTGTAAGTTTTTTTTCGGCCTGACGTGAAATGATTAGATTTTGGACAAAGTCGGAACATCTGGGGGGGGGGGGGGGTACTTTATGGGAGGCCGTTTTTATATTTTATTAAATATATCTGTTATTTATGTTTGGAGAAGAAAATTATTCAAATAAAAGTTACTTCTAATATTATTATCTATAATTTTTGCTTTATGTCAAAATTTCCTGAAATGGTCCGTATTCTAGAAATTTGACAAAATGTGAAAATTCTAAACTAAACTAAAAGTTGTTTGCGATATCGATCTCTATAATTTTTGTTTATACATGATTTTTCTAAAATTAGAAATTTTATTTTTTTTTAACTTTGAAAAACCGGTAACTAAAGAAATTTTAGAAAATATTTCATCTGAACTTCACTTGTAACACCCTGTATCTCGAAAACGTTACCTATATTTATATAAACTTTTACTCCTATTTTTAACAGACTTCATAAAAGGAGGAGGGAGGTTCTCAATTCGTCGCAATATTTTTTTTTTATTTTTTTTTATGTATGTTCAGCGATAATTCTTTAACACGGTGTCCGATTTCAATGATTCTTTTTTTGTTAGAAAGAGGGTACTTCAGGGGTAGTTTCATATAAATTTGGTCAAAATCTAATAATTGGGCCCATGAGAAAATCCTCAAACTCTTCATTTTTTATGTATGTTTAGCGATAATGCTTTACCACCTTGTCCGATTTATAGGATTATTTTGTTGGTAGTAAGGGGGTACCTCAGGGGTAATCCTATATAAATTTGGTTAAGATGTGGTGACGGCATCTGCACGTTTTTGAATTCGGTTTTTTTTTAATTTTTAATTTCTAATACTTGTAGGATATAGATTACGCTGTTAAAATATGACCGTCTAATTTCTGGACACCCTGTATATTGGAAATTCGAAATAATAGTTATGACGTAGCGGTATTTTTCTAATTGTAATCGGACCCTAGGTATTTGGATACGGAAAGTGATGAATTGGAGATAGGTAAATTGTATTTATTGTATTAAAGGAACAACAAATATAAGTAAAATTAAATAAGTATATTAATATAACAATTTTTTAAAGTCTGTATTAAAAAATTTTTTTTTCACATAGATTATTAAATTAAAAAAATAACTATTAAAACACGAAATACAAATTTAGCAGTTTTAAATAATAATAAAATTAAATAAATTTAAAATTATAATTAATTAGTTTTTTTGTAAAAACCTTAAAACTATAAAAAAATAAAAGTCACTACAATCATCTACATCGTTTGTAGGTTTAATTCATAAAAATATTTTTTTATTTTGATATTAGTCGGGTTCCAAAATGACGGAGATGACCATTCTGGGTTTTTTTAGTGAAAAAAGTGAAGGTGACTATAATTTATGGCATAACACAATGCAAATTAAACTCCAGTGTTTTTATATGAATTGCGTTCTGCCATAAATAATCGACTCTTGCTTTATAAGGGGGCTAGAAATACGAAACCCTCCTCGAAATATTTATCAATAATAAGTTATATGGATTATAATAAATGTTTTTCATAAAAATTGGATTTATTTTTATATAGCAGTACATTGTGAGCGGGTAAAATACTGTTAAAAAAATATGTTTACTAAATATCTTTATCTCAGAGTAAAAATCAAATATTTTATCCGCCGCTAATTTATCAACATAGCCGTGGCCGTCTGATAGAAATAACTGATTTGTTTTATATTCGCTGTTTTTTTTCTGTTTGTTTATGTTGTCTTACTAAAATGTAATGTTATAATATCTCATTCCTTATTAAATATAATAATTTACGGTTGGCGATAAAAGTTTGTATATGGACCATAATCTCAGGCTAGTTCGATAATCACTTATATGACTTCGTACATAAATAACTATTATCTGTCGACAATCTCGTACATACCTGCGATAAATATAATTATTTACAATTATTGATTTTGTTTGCAATTAAATCAAAATTTTTATATAATGTTTGTAAATCTATACTTTTTATGTCTTTGGTGCATGCTATTGTTTTATAATATTTTCTGTAACTTGCGGTCATGTTTGTATAAAAAAAATCAAGTCAATAGCTCAATAATTAGTTTTCAATCTACAGTGATGTATTATTTAAAAATTGTTTATTTTTTTGTTTAGTGGTTTGTGCAACAAGAGTTGATATGGACAATCCACTCGAGTTGTACAGCATACTTTTCTACGACCCACTAACGAAAATCTACAAATTTAAAAAATTATTTTAGGTTTTTAAGACAAAATGACTGATTTTAAAATAATTTATGACTTTGCGTGCATAACTGATTGCATCCGGAGATATCGGGGTGTCTACGCATAAAATTTGTAAACCAGTCTTTTCCTGCGAGACCATTCTCCAACCACTTTTGGGGAACTTTTCCTTCATTTCTCAAGGCAAAATCATAGACTGCAAGAAAAAGCAATTTTAACATCTCTCAAAAAAATATTTTTAAAATTTGTTACCAATTTTCGGATTTTCTTTGGTGTAAGACCAAAGTAAATAACAGCTGACACACGTATGTACTTCAAAAAAGCATCTTCCTGTTCTTTGGTCAAAACCCTAGTATGTGGATTGTAACCCATTCTAGGCGACCCACCCTCATTCAATTTTTTCATGTAATTATTATTTGTTTTCCTACATTTTTTACACAGTACACAAGTATTGATAACTAACCTCTTAACCAGCACACTTTTTTTTGTTGTTGTAAACGTTCATGACATTTCAAGCTGCTTTTACAATTGCTTACAACTATGTGCTTCCACAAAATTATAAAAAAATGAACCACCTTCAACGATTTTTTCTAATGATTTTTGTCTGTAGAGATGTATTGCTTTACCTACCATTGTTGGGAAAACAGTACGAAACTGAGTTGCCGCTATTTCAACAAGGCGACTGCGCTTGCGCTCATTATATAATGAAAAGGCCTGTGCATATACAACAACATGTAGTCTTGAAAGAGTAAAACCAAATTTGGTAGATTTTCACACTTTTATTTTAAAAATATAAAAATTTTTAAAAAACACTATCATGACATATGTTTCGAAGTACAACTTCTTTTTCAAATGTGACTAATTTACAAATCGGTATCCAATATATATATATGAAATAATTTAACAAGACAAAGTACTTTAAGAAAAACATCAATAACATTACATCATCATCAAGTAAAGGCTGAAACAATAAATAACAACATGTAGAACAATGGTGTATTATATTTAAAAAAATCAGTGTTCAAAAATCCCTGTGCAAGCATATTGGTGCACTACATTCAACCATTTTAATTATTAATAATAATTATGTACCTAATGAACTGAATTTTTTTAGGGTCTTCTGCGTTTGGACTAGAAATTGGCAGTATGAAGGATTCTAACAAAGCTTCTGATTTCGTAATAAATGGTAACAAAGTACTTGAGCCTTCAATTCAAAATTTAATACGATTAATACTTCCGTTTATCGTTAATCATGATATTTTACGAGCATTGAATTTTAATGGTTTTAACCCATGTATTAACGATTTTTACGTCAATACCACACTGTCAACGATCAAACATAGAGAAGAAAAAAATATTGTAAGAAACGATTTTATGGATTTACTAATTCAATTGAAAAATAGCAAAAACGAACACAAGAGGCTGACAATTTCTGAAATAATAGGACAATCTTTTGTATTTTATATCGCTGGATTTGAAACTTCCGCAAGTTCAACAACTTTTGCAATTTTTGAACTTTCTCAGCATCAAAACATTCAAGATAAACTTCGTCAGGAAATAAATCTAGTTCTGAATAAATATGGGAATCAAATTACTTATGAAGCTGTACAAGAAATGGTTTACCTAGACCAGGTTGTTTATGGTAAATAATTTATTTTTCCTTCGTAATGAAGAATTAATGTGTTCTGTATGAGTGAATTTATACCAGAGAATACACCTAAGTCATTATAAGAATATTCTTATTTTAAAGTTATATTATGTTTTTTTTTTATTGTTCTTCCCAATATGTAAAACCACATACTTTTCTATATTTAATGGAAGCATTCAGTCAGCAGACAATCTAATAATATAGTAAAGATCCAGATAGAGTTTAAAGTAGAGTGATTTTAATGTGATCTTTATAGAAATCCATATTTCTCTTGATTTAATAGTGTTAATAGTGTTGTTTACTTGTGTACGTCGTAAAAAGTAGAGATGGAACCCTCGGAACCTTCACTTGATATTGGCTTCTCACTCTAGAACATAAGCGCCGAAACTCAGAAATTGCTTTGGGTGCCCGGCTTCTATGCGGAAAATAGTGGCTATCACCCCCCCCCCCCCTCCACATATCTCAATTAAAGGCACCACCGGTTTTTTAAAAGCACTTCATTTTATGAAAATTTTCTTGAAAAGACAAAGTATTGTCATTGGAGTCGTAGCTAAAACATACGACTCCAATGACGCGAAAAGCGATTTTTTGAAATTTTGTGGGTTACGACGTTTTGCACTTAATTAGTGGAGTAAATGCTGGAAATGCCGAGCCTGAGCCTCCATGCAATAATAGAGGTTTTATTCAAAACACTCTCGGACATTTTAAAGTATCTTTGGGCTGATTTGATGACATTCATCAATTATCCGTTGTCGCAGATTTTCCAGTTATGTTGGCTGGGTGACATAAATTTTAGTTTTTAAATTGCTCCATAAAAAATCTAACGGGCTTAGATCCGAAGACCGTGGAGACCACCCAATACTTCTTCTTCTTCCAAACCATTGACCTGATTGAAACGTTTCATCCAAATACTGACGAACAGTGGCGCACCGTCTTGCTGGAATATTAAGTTGTTTGCTATGTACTGTTCGTCATTCGCAATCATTTCTAGTAATGCTGGATACATGGCATTTTCTAATAATTCTAGATACATTTCTTCGGTTACAGTTTCAGATAAAAGAAAGGGCCAATTATACGGTTTCCAAAAATGCCAGCCCAAACATTCAGTTTTTCCGGATGTTGCATATGCACTTGATGAAATATTCTGGGATTTGAATCGGACCAATACCGACAGTTCCGATTATTCCCGCTCACACGTTTATTCTAAAATTGTGTTTTTTCAACTTAGGATTTTCATCCGCCCAGCTATGGATGTTATGGAAGTTAGTCGCACCGTTTCTAACGAAACTTCCTTCAACTGTAATTGGTATCCGACTTATAAAATTTATATCACGCCGATTTTCTTCCAAATGCTAATCACAAAAGCCGAAGCGTCTTGGGTAATCTTCAGGAAGTTGTACAGGTGTTAAATGAAATGGATACAGCTGTTGACTTTTTAAAATACGCCAAAGTTTATTATGAGAAATATTAACGACTTCATTATCCAACATTCTTGTACTCTTTTCCGGATGATTCGTGATTTCTTTCATAATTTGATCATCATACGCATAGTCTTTAAGTCTACTGATATTTCCTGCAACGTGTTTTTCAATGAACCAGTTTGTCTCAATCTTAGGGTTGCCATCTTTTTAAAAAATGTAAATAAAGGACTATGATGCTAATAGGGGGGGATCGGTCCTCATTCTTCTACTGAACTTAAAAAAAAAGGTTGACGAATGTTTTTAAATCGAAATAATTAAATTAAAAAACTGATAGATGTCTTGTTGGCATTTAGTTTAGCTTTGTTTTACATTTCCAGGCATCCGATTAATTTATGTGCGTTTTTTGTACAATAATTCCTGGCCTACTCTTAGTGTTAAACTTCATGTTGGATGGATGAATTGCTCTATAAATTCAGTTCATTTCGCTATAAAAAAAAATTCAAAATTCATAGTTCTTTTTGATTTTAAGATCGATAAAGCAAGTTTATGTCAAAAAAATACGGCCAACCCTCAACTTTTTTAAGGGGGTCTACAGTACTGGCAAAAATTTCAAAGAAAAAATAGAAACAGCAAACTTTTTACACGTTTGTCTGAATGTTAGTTTAACGCCTTATAACTTTGTTAAAAGCCATTTTTTGATATAGGGAAATATAGCAAAATACACTTCTTTTTTGGAAATCTATCTAAGGAAGAATTTATGACATACACCCAGTATATCGATTATCTAAAGTAGTTTATCAATTAAATATTTATTTAGAATCATTGCGGATGTATCCACCAGCACCATTTTTGGTAAGATTATGTAACAAAGACTACAAAGTGGTTGGAACGGATTTGTTAATTGAGAAGGGAACGTCAGTGTTTATTCCTTCAAGCGGAATCCAGTACGATCCTGAGTATTATCCAAATCCGGACAAATTTGATCCTGAGAGATTCAATGCCGAGAATAGGAAGAAAATTCCATCTTATTCATGGTTACCCTTTGGAGAGGGACCCAGAGTTTGTTTAGGTAAATATTTTCTAAATTACCGTGTATATAAAAAAAAAAAATCTGGTCAAATATGTTTAAAAGATATGTGATGTATTTTTGTCAATAATAAAAATAAATCCAACTTAGATAATAGGGTGGAGCAAATTTGTTTGCAAACTAATATATATGCTAATATAAGCTCTAAAAATATAACATTATACAGTGAAACCTGTGTAAAACGGAATCGCACGGTCGTGCACCGATTTTCCGGCATATACAGGATTCCGCGTTACACAGGGTAGATAAAAAAATGCACATAGTAGATTTAAAAAAGTGATGATTTTATTAAAAAAAATCTAATATACGTACATTTAATATATAGTTGTTATTATTACTATGTACCTACATATTTTTATTTATTATTAGAAACAATATAAATTATTATTTATTCCACATTTCTATCAATGTAAGTTGTTTTTTATTCTTTTGTAATACGTAAGATGATTCCATGAATGTCCTTAATTCTAAAATCTTTTTTCTCATCGGTTCGCTCTCTATTCTTTGGGAAAAATCCTCTAACGCTGCAACACTCCTCAAAGCTTCAGAAAAATTTTTTATCCGATCGGATTCTTCAACTTCTGTTCCTGTAGATAAAAATAATAATTTAAGAACAGATCGTTTTGAAAAGCTAATGGGAAAATAATTTTTTCTATCTGTTATTTTTGTGATGGTAACTGAAATCTTCCTATCTTATTTTTATTATGTATTTTAACTTTATTTCTACTTGGCCAAATACCCAATTAAGATGGAAAGAATAAATAAAAAGTTGTTTATTTTTTTAGAGAATTAGAAAAATCGCTTACCAATTCCAATCCCATCATTATCGTCTGCCACAGTAGTTTCCACGGCAGTTTTTTCTAACACCAGTTCTTCTATGGACTGAAATCCAGCATTTGTTGTAACGGCTTCATCTAATGTGATGTAATCATGAACATTACAACCGGGATTAATTTCAGTAATTAACTCTTCGACTTCTTTTGTACTTTCGTCAATTTCGTCAACATTTTCGATTAGGTCAACGTCTCCATCTTGCTTGATTCCACATGCCACAAAACATTTTTTACCACAATCAGGTTTAATATTTTTTACTGAATAATCAATCCATCTGATAGCATCCAAAACTGATATTTTTTTAGCCAAATCTCCTGCTGATTGAGAGAATCTCATATTCGCAATAATTGACCGCAGCACTTGTTTTCTGTAATGCATTTTGAAGTTTTGTATAACTCCATGATCGAGAGGCTGTGTTTGACTTGTGGTGTTTGGTGGTAGAAAACACAATTTTATATTGGATAGTATTATTTTGGGGTGACACGTTGCATTATCCAAAAATAGAAGGATGTGTCGATTTTCAAATTTCATTTTTTGATTTAAAATTTTTAGCCACTGTTCCATAAGAACTGATGTCATCCATGCTTTTTTATTTGCTCGCCAATAAACTGGTAGCTGAGGCACATTGGTATTGTTAAAACATCGCGGTCTGAGGGATTTTCCAATAACTAGAGGTTTTTCTATTTTTCCGTCAGCAAAGGCGCAAAACAAAACGGTTAACCTTTCTTTAGATTGTTTGCCTCCTTGACATTTTTCACCTTTAAAGCACATTGTCTTGTCCGGCAGCGCTCTATAAAAAAGGCCAGTTTCGTCACAATTAGCAATGTCTTTTAGGGTATATCCTTTAATTAAATCTGTAATGTGCGATGTCCATTCAGTCACAGATTCCATGTCGACGTCCTTAGCTTCACCGCAGATCTGATTAAATCTTATGTTATGTCGTGTTCGAAAACTTTCCAGCCATCCATTCGAAGCTTTAAAATCTACTTTTCCAAAATGGTTTGCAATTTCTCTTGCTTTTTCTTGAATAATTGTTCCAGATACAGGAAGATTGCGAGACCTTGCATCGATAAACCATTCCAAAACTGTTGAATTTACGTCGTCGTGATGTGATTCCTTTGGCTTTCTCTTAATATCGCCATTACCACCACGCATCCACTCTTCTTTAATTTTTTCCTTGTTTTTCAAAATTTCATACACTTGCGTTTTTCCGCACTTAAATTGAATAACCAATTGCTTTGGAGTAAGTTTTTTTTGGTCACTACATTTAATTAAGTCCATTTTAGATTTTAGCGATAATGTATTCGTTTTTCGGTTTGCTATTTTGAAATGTTTGCACTTTCACGGATAAACTCAAACTGCCGTACCTACACAATACTGGTTTATTTGTGTATTTACTGCTTTTGTACCTAAATTTCTGTGATAATGGTTCTAAGTATTGATAATAGTTCGCCCTTATTATGGGGCTTTCCGAAATAATAAACTAATTATGTAAACATCTATAAATTCTTTTATACGTGCAAAGCAATAACATAAGTAGGTTCCGGCTTAACAGATTAGGGAAATTCCGTGTTCGCGTTAGACAGGGTTCCGGCTTATAAGCAATTTTTACATTACAATATGTAGGTAATCGCCAAAATTTCCGTCATACACAGGATTCCGTGTTACACAGGTTCCGGCTTACTCAGGTTTCACTGTATCCAACTACTTTAAGCACAAATCAAAAATATTTATTGGAGATTAGTCTAGCTGTTTCAGAAGAAGTTTCAAAATGGAATCCTGGCAAGTTGTCACGTGTTCGTTGGTTGACTTGTGCGAGTAGGATATTACGATTATATGTAGCGACAAATCAACTTTCGGTTTCATCTTATGAAAATAAAGCAAAAAATTCTGTTAATAAAAGTTCTGTTTATTTTGCTAAATAACCTATCCAAATACTACGCGAGATGAGATTTTTTTAATATTTTGTTGTTTCTTTACAATTAATACAAATTTTCAAAGAAACAACAAAATGTCCAAACATTCTCACCTCTTGTGGTATTACCTTTGATAATCGCAATGCGTCTACTTAAGAGTTGTTAATTTTTAGCTCAATGCATTTGATTATTTTACAACTGTATTCAAGGTGCATGAGAATAATTACTGGTTATTATTTAACCATTTTTCTGGTGACAAGCATGCCTATAACATAATCTTTTTGATATATACTTTTATTGTCTAATTTCATATACTTATTTTAAAGAGTATCATATCTATCTAAAGAAATACCATACTTTTTAGGTATGCGATTTGGAATTCTACAAATTAAAATTGCTCTAATAACTCTTATACAAAATTTCAAATTCTCTCTCAACAAAAAGACAACACTACCACTTAAACTGAGTAGATCGGTATTTTTGATGAAATCTGAAGAAGGAATTTATATTGATTTAGAGAGCATAAACAGAAGAGAATAATCAAGTCAAGAAAAAAATTACAATAAGTATGTAATGTAATATGGGGGCGTCCATTAATTACGTCAGGTGTTCAAGGGGGGAAGGGATTAAGCTAAATCTATCCAAATCTCACTTGAGAAAGGAGGGTTTTTGTAAATTTGACGTAACTTTTTTCTAGTAGAAAACGGTGTAAAATTGCGTGAAAGTAAAGTTAAATTAAAATAAAAATGTTTCTAAAAATTTTACATTAGGGCAATATTCTCAAATACTAGTCTTTACTAGTCTTAAATAAAAGTAATAAAACATATTGTGGTTTTATTTATTTTTTTGATAATCCAACGGATTTACACCTAAAGCACAATTTTGAAAAATCTCACGTGAGATTAGGGGAGGGGGAGAAAGTTAAGGAAAATTTTAAGAAATCTCACCAGGAGGAGAGGACTCAAAAAATGCTCAAAAATACCTCATGTAATTAATGGACGCGCCCCCTATCCAATTTTAGTTCGACTCAGTAGCGCAGTACGTTCGAGCAGGTGTGTATTCATTTATAGTCTTTCTAGTCCACACACCTAGAGAAATATACGGCTAAAGAACGACTGCGCATCTGATCTGAGTGACTACTGAAACGAAATAGAATATTCCGCCATTTTGCCAGCTAATTGTCAGATTAAGTGTTAAGTTTCGATGCTATTTTAATGTTTTGCATTGTTTTCGTTAAGTTCGTGAATTATATTAGGAATATGTAATAATGCAATTTCACAAAATAATGTTAATAGTTGATGCATAAACAATTTTTTTTAATAATTATAAAATGCCTAGTAACAAAAGAGCTTAATGCATGCAATTTGTTTAACAGTAACGCATAATGTTGGTTGCATACTGTCTGGCTTTCACATTACCATGCATTATTGGTTGCATATATGTTTTGACAGATTTCTGGCAAAATGGCGGCTTATTAGACTTTTCAATTGTTGCCGTGTCGGATGTCTCTTTTGCGCTGTATAGTCATCTAGGTGTGTGTTCTAGTCACAATCCAACACGGCATAATAACTGACTAGCGCCGACTTCACACATGGGTGTACCGGTTTTATTATTAAAATTAAATAAATTAAATTATGAATTGGGTATAGTTCTTTTATTATCAAATGCATAATATAAAAACTAGTTCCGAACCCTTACCGACAATTTTGTTTGATTTATTATTTTTATAAATGAACACTTAATTGGAGTCCTACTAGAAACTTAATAAAAAAAATAACATTAATGTAGCTCGTTAACTAGCTACAACTGAATATTCAATTACAAAACGTAAATAGACGAGTAAAATGTACCTGCCTGTATGTTAACAATGCTCACAGAAGTACACGTTCCCGCCACAGAAATTTGGCTAGGCCCCGGTAGTGGCATACAGCCCTCAAAGAAGGTCTTGTAGGCCAATACTTTAGGTAAATATTTATCTCATGTCTGGTTTTGGTTGGTGACAGAGGTTGACAGCATTGTCTTAACCACCCTCTGAACACGTTCTACAGGATTGGCTTGGGAATGGTAATTAGCAGTAAAGGCGAGGGTAATTGTAGGGCAAACGAACTTTTAATTGTGTAGATCCCATCATAAATTTTATTTGTAGATAAATGTAAAATTATTTATTGTAGATAAAAATGGATGACATGTCATGTATAGTAAAAAAATAAAAAGTCATAATGATAATCAATAAATAGATCCGTGGTAACGGATGTTGCCATGGAAGTGAGTTTAACTTTCATCAAGGCTGCCACATAATGAAGGTGTCCGAAAGTTCTAAGGTACGAATGTATGTGGTGTAATCGAGGCACTACAGTAATACCATACTCCTTGGCCTTACTTTGAAATTGGGTACTTTTAAATTGGGTTCCGTTATCCACTATAATTTTATCAGGAGAACCAAAAACTAAAATTACCTGCTCTTCCAAAATCTTTGTGACCGCGGCCGCAGTAATTGACCGAAGAAGAAAAAGTAATGTAAATTTTGAAAAACAGTCACACACTGACATGATGTGCGTAAAACCGGAAGAACTACGCGAGAGTGGTCCTACTAGATCAACGCTCAACAATTGCATTGGACGTAATATGATGGAAGGCTCAACATGTAGCCAGTTGGAAGTTTCTACTCTGCACGCTCATCATGCCGGCGTGTTCTCTCCATAGAGGGTAGAGTGGAGCCATATGTAGCCATATAGCAACGAGTGTTTTGGTCTTGCTCTTAAAATCGCACGGTATTATTCCGGGTTCGGCTGGGGGTGAAATATCCAACTGGAATTTCAAAAGAATATCCATGATTTTCTGCCTCTGATTGTAAACTAGCAGTTGCTTGTAACTATTGTGGTAAAAGTGACTGTCTATCACCATTACCAGAGGTAATAGTTGCCTGTAGTAATCCCTTGGAATAGGCAAGTTCAGGGATCAAGGAAGTTGATTCATCAAAAATACTCCCTTCTGGTTCGTCTGCTTCACCTCGAAGCTGCCTGTTAACCTCGGGTACGCTATGAGTAAACCGAGAGTAGGTTGACTGCTCATAAATTGAGGCTATTTCATCTAAAATCTGCATACACCGACACAATAAGTTGCCACGAGTGTTTTCCTGTTCAAAGGACCCTTTTCAGACGAGACTGTACATGTGAAAGTCGCGAGAAAATTCGCTTATATTCGTTACCAGTACCTGCAAAGTCGAAGTTCTTTACAAAATTACCTAGGTCGACTAATTTGCGATTACTGATATTATCTGGTTGCAAGAGTTCACTTGATACCACTTGTATTACCCCCTCGCGTTCTAAGCGCAACACTCCTCTCAAAGTAGTCCGATTATCATTAACCCTACTTTGGACGGGAAGTCCACGAACTAGAAGTTCATGAGCTATTTCGTCGCCTAACAGCCTATTTACTTCCATATTTTCACAAAAGAAATAAAAATAAAAACCTTACTAAAGCAAATAAATATACAATTAGTGGTAGTTGTAAGGATACCAAATTTTCACTAAAAATATTTGTTGATAAGGCTGTACTCTAACCCTGCGACAGTTTCCCTACAATAGTCTCGAGTCCCGTGGTTGAAGGTAATAGAACACTTCAAATATCAGTCTTATAATGAAATAAGGAAAATAACCTATAATTATAAATATTCACCATGCTCGATATTCAAAAATAGGAAAATATATTAAAAGTTAAAAATTTCAGAATCTATGGTGTTATACCCCAATTAGTACTGTTTGGTTCCCAATATCATAGTAAGTACATTAAATTTCAGGTTATAACAAGTAAAAGTTTCCATAGAACTTAATTTATAAAATCGATGGAACAACCTCTCTTTTTATTATTATTAAATACCTAAATAGTCCTACAAAATTTTAGTTTTACAAAGCACAGTAACCAAATACACTATTCTTGATGGTGAAGCCGTTAAGGAAATTCCCCTTACCTTCTGAGGTATATATAAGTGGTAGTAAATATTGGGTCTGTCTTACTTGCTGGCATTCCAGGTTCCTAGAGGAACAGGCAAGGAACCGTCCTCCTAAGGTAGGTATACATACACACAAATGTATTCTAGAAGTGGAGAGTACGTCTACTGGGGGTAGATTAATTCGATGGATATAGTGAGGGGCCAAACCCGTTCTGGGGAACACTGCCTGAGGACCTATAATGTAAGTCACGAATTTTTCCTGTAGGTATATTATTTGTATAAATCTTTAATAATATATTTTATGACATTATGTTTCAATTTAATAAATATCTATACATAATTATTAAGGTCAATTGATCAATTAAAGCGGTCATAATAAAGACTTAAAAAAATAATTTTTAGTAATTTTTAGTAATTTTTAGTAATTTTTAGTAATTTTTAGTAATTTTTAGTAATTTTTAGTAATTTTTAGTAATTTTTAGTAATTTTTAGTAATTTTTAATAATTTTTAGTAATTTTTAGTAATTTTTAGTAATTTTTAGTAATTTTTAGTAATTTTTAGTAATTTTTAGTAATTTTTAGTAATTTTTAGTAATTTTTAGTAATTTTTAGTAATTTTTAGTAATTTTTAGTAATTTTTAGTAATTTTTAGTAATTTTTAGTAATTTTTAGTAATTTTTAGTAATTTTTAGTAATTTTTAGTAATTTTTAGTAATTTTTAGTAATTTTTAGTAATTTTTAGTAATTTTTAGTAATTTTTAATAATTTTTAGTAATTTTTAGTAATTTTTGGTAATTTTTGGTAATTTTTAGTAATTTTTAGTAATTTTTAGTAATTTTTAGTAATTTTTAGTAATTTTTAGTAATTTTTTAGTAATTTTTAGTAATTTTTAGTAATTTTTAGTAATTTTTAGTAATTTTTAGTAATTTTTAGTAATTTTTAGTAATTTTTAGTAATTTTTAGTAATTTTTAGTAATTTTTAGTAATTTTTAGTAATTTTTAGTAATTTTTAGTAATTTTTAGTAATTTTTAGTAATTTTTAGTAATTTTTAGTAATTTTTAGTAATTTTTAGTAATTTTTAGTAATTTTTAGTAATTTTTAGTAATTTTTAGTAATTTTTAGTAATTTTTAGTAATTTTTAGTAATTTTTAGTAATTTTTAGTAATTTTTAGTAATTTTTAGTAATTTTTAGTAATTTTTAGTAATTTTTAGTAACTTTTAGTAATTTTTAGTAATTTTTAGTAATTTTTAGTAATTTTTAGTAATTTTTAGTAATTTTTACATAATATGCAAGTAAGCGTCTCAGAAACGACAAATCTGCAGCAGAGTTACGAAAATTTAACATGTCTGGTTAAAAGTTAATTAAACAGCAAGCCGATTCTGAAGTCATAGTCAATATCAGAGCGACGTTGCTAAGTAGTTATTATCTCAGGTAAATCTAAATACATTTTATGGATTTTTAGTATTTCCAGGTTAACAAAAAAAAAATAGGCTTTGTAGAAACAAAAATAGTTAAAATAAACATTATATTTTTTGAATAAAAAGACTCGTTTTTTTTAAATTAGGTTTGTTGATATATTAAAAATGCTTTTTTTTTAATAATAAAATTTGGGCTCCGTAGACCCATTGTGCACGACTCCATAAATATGCATGCAAAATTTTATAAAAAAATATTAAAAAATAGGCCTGAAAACTTGGAATTAGTTTTAAGTCCATTATAGTACATGTATAACGCTCTTAACACAAGGTAATTTTAAATATGTTCACTTGTTGTTTTAAAAATATTGTCTGAATACGATTCTGTCATAAACTTATCTATTTTAAACATAAAATTCAATATCATTAGATGTATAAATAATTGGATCACGTGTGTTTTAAACGTGAATGAAATAATTTTTTTTTAAACAGAACTTTGTCACTTTTATATTTCCGATTTAATTATCTAAACATTATCACTCACCCATACGCACACATTTTTTTAAATATTTTTGTGCTGTCTTCTAAAATGTTTTTGACACAGAATATAATATTAGATTTATTGGGAATTTTTGTCGCTCTAATAACAATTTTTGCTGCAAAACACTTATGGACACTTGGATATTGGAAAAGGAGAGGAGTTGCTGGCCCAGGAGGCATATTTCTCTTTGGAAGCATGAAGGACGTTTTTTTATTTAAAAAGACTTTGCAATATTTCTTCAAGGAATTATACAGTGAATATAAATCAAAAGGTTAGTGAACGATTGCATAAATAAACAACGATTATATAAAGTTTGTTTTATAGATATACTTAAAAAATTTAATTTCAGATTATTTAAACATTTGTTTATTAAATTTATGATTTTTTTTATATAATATATATTATCGTTTATTATTTTGAGAATATAATTATTGTATCAAGTGATGCTGTTTTGTTTTATTAGGTTCACTGAATTTTTATATTATCGCTTTAGTAAATTTCGTACCATGACTACAAAACAAACTTCTTTCAATACAAACTAATCTGTTAGTTAATCGTTGTGATATTTTTCTCATGTTATATAGATTATATTCAATTCCTGTTGTCCTATTACTATGATTCTTTTTTGTTAGAAAGGGGGTACCCCAGGGGTGGTCCCAGGCAAGATCTATTGGCATCCATAAGAAAATCATTAGACTCTTATTTTTTTTATGTATGTTCAGCGATAATCTTTTAGAACGTCCAATTTCTATGATTATTCCTATGTTAGAAAGGGGTACCTCAGTGGTGCTCCCTTTTACATTTGGTGAAGATCTGATGTGGATCTATAATAAAATCACCATAATAATTTTTTAATGGCACCTGCATGATCTTCGAGAATATTTTGGTGTATTTTAGTCCATTTACGACGTTATTAAATAGTTAAGAATTACATAATTTTGAAGTTATTGTTTTTCAGTTCATAAGTTTATCCATTAGTAAACCCCTTATTCTATTAACTTTATTGTACTGATTTTATATTTTAGGTGAACGCTATATTGGATGCTATTTATCCGGTAGACCAATTTTTATTCCCATTCATATAGATGTGATCAAAGAAGTGTTGAATAATCATGAACATTTTGATAGTCACGGTTCTTATTTCAATGAAAATCAACCGTTAACAACCAATGTGTTTGCATTAGGAGGGACTAGATGGAAAGAAGTTCGCGCTAAACTTACGCCAACTTTTACACCCGCTAAAATAAAAATGGCCTATAATTCTCTTTTAGATTGCAAATTGGATTTAGAAGTGCTTCTTTATAAATCTTCCAAAAATAATCCCGTTAATATTAGCGATATATTAGTACGTTTTACGACTCATGTAATTGGTGAGTACATAACATTAAACATTTTATCAACGATACTAATTTAGTATTACAAAATGTATACAACACTTAGCTTAAAAAGACTTCATGGCACACATCGCATGTTGCCTATTCAAACCTTAAGTAATCCACCAATTAAAAATTATTGTTTTCACGACACCACCCGAATTGCTCCGACATTTCTATTCCACGCTCATCTTCGCGTGAGTTGAATCATCATGAACCGCCGTTTCTTGAATTACTTGTTGGTATTATTAGCAATTTACTGGAGACGGTCTGCATGTTAGCTGGACCTACGAATTACGACTCGCTGACGGCCAGGGTCATCAGTAAAATTTCTCTCGTCGTAATTAACGACATTTTCTAATGATGTGTTCAATTCATCAAAATATAAATTGATTGATTGACTGTCTATCAACTGCAGCCCATGCTCGTTTTATATTCTGCGAAAGTCTCCGTGCTAAATTATTTTTGTGGCGAATCAGAAAAGATTTCAACCAGTCCGGCCCTGGCAAGTTATTGGTAAATCTTCTGATGCTTACACTTCTTTTATCATAATACTGTTTCAACAAAATACGCACGTCCATTGGTTCTAATGGGAATCCCCAATCGGCAAGGCACATCAAATAACTAACAATTTTGTTTTCTTCAACGTTCGTTATGGCTAATTATCCATCAGGTTTTTTCACATTCCTATTTTTCACAAGCTGATTTATTGTATTTTAAGGTATTTCGTATTTAGTCTCCAGATTTCAATAGCTGGTTCCTTTCTTCAGCCTTTCTTGAACAGCTTTCTGCAGATTTTTGCTTTCATAATTCTGATATGGCCTATAACCAAACCTCTTGATATATTTTCGGGACATGTCCTGAGTCACCCTGAAAAGAACCTGAGATTAGATTTCCAACGAAAAAAAAAAATTAAATTTAGCAGCATAAAAAAAATCTTAAGACAACATTGAGAACGTATCAACTAAGCGAAAAAACAAATTTCACTTACCTTCCAATAGTTTAACACCACAATTTATCGACTTACGAAGACACCCGTTATTCTGTCGCTCTATCTAATTTTTTTCGCGAGAACGAAATGTTATGCAGCTGTGGCGAATGAGACACTAAGAACTAATAAGTAAACACGACTCACGCTGCCGGCTCAGCGCATGCGTCCTCGCTACAATTTTTTTTCATAAATAGCGTACACTTGTTCCAAGTCAACCGGCTTTCTCGAGTCACCCCGTTTGACGGTACTTAATGAACTAAAATTTTTAGGAACTTCTGCATTTGGGCTAGACCTTGGCTGTATGAACGATTCTGATAAACCTTCTGATTTCGTAATTAATGGTAACAAAGTACTTGGGCCATCAATTCAAAATTCAATACGATTTATACTTCCGTTTGTCGTAAATCATGATATTTTAAGAGCATTAAATTTTAATGCTTATAGCCAAGATACTACCGATTTTTACGTCAATACCACGTTGTCAACGATCAAATATAGAGAAGAAAATAATACTGAAAGAAACGATTTTATGGATCTACTGATTAAAATGAAAAACAGTAAAAACGACCAAGAGAGGCTGACAATTTCTGAAATAATAGGACAATCTTTTATATTCTATATCGCTGGATTTGAAACTTCCTCCAGTTCAACAAATTTTGCAATTTTTGAAATTGCGCGGCATCAAAGTATTCAGGATAAACTTCGTCAGGAAATAAATCTAGTGCTGAATAAATACGATAACCATATTACTTATGAAGCTGTACAAGAAATGGTTTACCTAGACCAGGTTGTATATGGTAAGTAATTTGTTTTTTGCTTGCAGTAAGGAATAATTTTTCTCTTAATTAATTTTTGTGTATTATAAAATATAACAAGTATAACTTGCTCTTTCCATGTTTTCAAATATTAAAATATGTTCTGTACGAGTAAATTTATGCCAGAAATTACGACTTTTTAACCAGCAGGCTTCTAACGAGCTTGAAAGTAAGTCGTATATGCCCCTAAGGGATTGCTTTGTAGTACTCGATGAATATATTGATCCGGACATTTACCATGGGTAAAGTAGAAGCACACCAAATGGCGACTTTCAGAAATAAGGCATCTAGTGACGCCTTGGTGAAATTATTAGTCTACAGAAGTTTAAAAAGCTAAAAGACTAGTTGTTTCTAGACCCCTTGTGAAGCAGAATTTTGGCGAGCCCAGAGGTAGATTCTATTTAGCTAGGGAGGATAGCAATGGGACTAGTAAGGCCTACAATATACAAATAATTATCGATCTTCGAAACTACTGCAACGAATCCTTCTCTTCTTTGGAAGGTATTGAACGATGCAATGTCTGCGCTATCTCCCCTTTTTAATTTCTTACTGTCGGACATCTTATCAAATTTCTTGTTACCTTCTAACTGTTATCGTTTAAATAAAACTTCCAAAAAGTTTCCTTTGTTTCTAGTTCATTCAAGAACATTAAATGGAAAATTATATAACTTCCAAATCAGTATATACTTGGACACTAATACAGTTCTATATATAACTGCCTCTAATCTTATATAATTTCCTTAGGAAACCAAAATCTGATGGATCTTTTAATCAGAAATCCAAAAGAGAAACAAAAAAATAAAAATAAATAAAAATCGTTGCCGTGGAACTGTTCTGGGTCATCAAGTCTTTGATTTTAATACTAGTCAGCACAAGGATTCTTGTGTGAATAGAAAGAGAGACATTACATAAAAATCGAGTTTCAGATGTTGCCAAAATTCGTTAGATGTTGTCACTATGACATATTTTTGACGTTATTTATTTACTTTAATATAGGTTCGGTTAATAACTGTTATTTCATAAATCATTGGATACTGTGTGTATTCTTTTCTTTATACTCGGTGTAAAATACAAAATAATAGATACACTTAATGTGCTTCTGGTTTTACAGAACAAAAACGGTATAGTAAAGTAACACGATACACAGACTAAGGGTATGTTCCTGTGCATGCAGCTGACTGACGGTGACGTCACGTGGGATATAGAATTATAAGCATTAAATGGGAGGTAGTGTTTAAAATTCGATATTTCGCCAATTTTAGATTTTATGCATTTACTTTAAGATTTATTGGTTATTTTGTAATATATTCGTTTACAAATATAAAGGTTTAAGGTAAGTAATAGTAATAAAAATATTAATTTTTCTCATGAATTATAGGTATTTTGTGACAAAATCCATAACCTGGCCATAAGATAAGTAAAAAATATAGACTAAAAATACAAGTTGGACTCAAATTATTAATAAATACTTTCTGGGCGTGGTAGTTCTCTTGCAATCTCTTTTCTTATTATGTGAAATAAAAATAAGTGTGCAGAAACAAATTATTTATTTATAAAAAGAAAGTGCACAAAAAAATTACTTTTTTTAGAAAATTTAGACATTTTTTGTCAAGTTTATTTTGAAAATACTCAAAATCAATTGTTCATTTATCTTATTCTTTTGTGAAAGTTCGTCCCGCATTACGTCATTGCGCGGTTTTGGACGAAAGTCAGCATATGTGTATCGTGGTAAAGTAATATTTTTTTGAGTTTTAGATTCAAATTAATCGAATGTTTTTGTTATGAATATATTATCACCTACTATGGAAAATAAAAAAGAAACTCTCGAAATTTTTGTTCAACAAATTTTACAAATATATCGGGCCAACTATTATAAATGTTTTACATATTTTCATTACTTCACCTTCTTTTTCCTTTTGCCACATGAACTTTCGCAGTATGGATAATGAACTATAGTTTTATGTTTTCACATAAATCGCAGGCTCAGTTTACAGTTTCAAAATGATCAAAAAACCAAGCAACACTCAAGGAAAAAGCACAAGCACTATAAAACCGTTCATTAAAATAAAACTCACCACACCCAATCATAAAAAAATTATGCCGCGAAATGGTGAAACGAGGAGATTTTTGACAACTGACAATTAAAAGCTGAAATAGAAACAAAGAAAATAGATACTTTACAACTTACTGTGACTATGAACTATTTCCACTCATTTGGCTGTTTGTTAAATATTACGAAACAACGTCAATAGAAAGTGGAACATACGTTTATAAATAACAAAAATCGCCCAATTGCGATTTTCAGTATTGTTGAAATCGCCCAATTTGCGACTTGTGATTTTTTGATAAATTTATGATAAATCGCCCAATCTGACCACACTGCACCCACTGCAGTTCTCTTCTCTTCAACGATCCAGATAATGATCTTGCTAGTACGACATGGATTTAAGTCACGTTAACAATTACTTCTGTAAAAAACTACTGACCTCTAACCAATCCATTACAATACATGATTATCTAAGTTATTTGTTAATCCTTTTCAATACTTATTTAGAAACTTTGCGGATGTATCCACCAGTACCATTTTTGATGAGAGAATGTAACAAAGACTACAAAGTGGTTGGAACGGATTTTTTAATTGAGAAGGGAACGCCGGTGTTTATTCCTTCTACCGGAATCCAGTACGATCCTGAGTATTATCCAAATCCGGATAAATTTGACCCCGAAAGATTCAGTGCCAATAATAGGAGGACCATACCATCTTATTCATGGTTACCTTTTGGAGAGGGACCCAGAATTTGTTTAGGTAAATATTTTATGAATTACTGCCGATTTGAAAAATATATATTTGGTCATAAGATTTGTAATTTTAAAAATGTTTTCTAAACTACGATAGCTCTAAATTTACTATTTTTTCTTTAAAAATACTACATCATGATTTTTTTAATTCATAAAACTATTAGGGGCAGTGTTTTTTAGAGTGACTTAATTTCTTTTACTTTTATAAAAAAATGTATAAAAAAGTAGGAATATTTAATTAAATTGTTTTACAAGAACGTTAGTGCCCATATTGATGGTTAATCAAAGTTAAGTTTTGTGGGTCTTGATCACAATCGCAACAAGTAATTTATTCATTTAAAATATATCCAGGCTTACAATACCCGAAGTTGAAGTGAGAGTATAATATGTAAACAAACAATAAACAAAATAGAATATTACGTCTCATTTATGTTGTGTGTCATGGGCCTGTAATTATAAAGGTATATGCACATACGGTGCAAGAAAGAGGTCTGGTTTATTTGGTATATGTCGAGAGAATAAGAGCTTTGAACACTTTCGTTTTATTTTTGTTGCTTTATTGCATTAAATCGTTCTACTGGATATTTTTCCCTAGAGCATGGAAAAATACAAGTTGATTAAGAAGACTTTTTTATTAAGGCCTCTGTAATCCCTTCGTTCCATAGCTCGCAGATCATATCAGCAAATTCGCTTCTGGTGAGACGTCTCTGATTTATTTCTGCAATTCTGTAAATTTCTGATTCCATTTAAGCTTCAGTGGTCCAAAGCAACACTTGTCTAATGGTTGCAAAATGTCTGTGGCATGAGGTGGTAATTTAAACAAAGTGATATTATGTTGCACGGCAAGTTCAATAGTTCCTCTATCCAGGTGTGAGGCGTGTCCATCCATTATAAGTAATAGTGGACTTTTTGAAACCATCGTACAAAATTTGAAAAACCAACTTTTAAAAACAGCCGTTGTCATCCAGCCCTTATCAGAGACGGCGTAGCAAGTACCTTTCAAATCATTTGAGCCCTTCCAAGTGCTCCATAGGTTTTGCCCTTGATATATAATTAGAGGTGGTAATAACACGCCGCTAGCAGAAATGCATGCCCTTCTATGCTTCTGTGAACTTTCTGGCCCACTGCGGCAACTACCTAATTCTACCCGGATCCAAATTGAACCCAATTTCATCCAAGTTAAATATATGCGATGGCTTGTCTTGCAGATCCAGTTGTTCAGACCCTGGCGATCATAGAAGGAATATATTATAAATGAGTCACTGGTAGCCATTCTCCTCCACGTTTCCAGCTGTTCCATTTTCTTCTGGCTCAGTCGATTCCTCTTACAGAAAGAACGGAACCAATCGTCGCCAGGTCTGCCGTCTTTAAATACAGTTTTTTTTTATTAACATATGTTTGTACAACTGACTGAGTTTCTTGTTTAGATAAAGCAAATCCCTATTTAGCCATAATTTTTATTTTTTCAGTCAGATATTTTTCTTGTTAGTGCTTGTTTGCGATAATTCGAGATAATTTTGATTTATCAATGCGGAATTTTTTCGAGGCGGATCGAATAGACAACTTACCTTGCTTTATTAAGGTAAGCTCCATTTTTAGGCCTTCGTCTGTGCATGGCTTTACTTTTGGGACGTAATTTCTAGGCATTGTGTATTGTAGAACCTATAATGGAAATGGTACATAAATGTCTTATGCGTCTCATATTTACCCAAAGTGACGTCTTAAATTCACCCCGGCAAAATATTAACATTTTTTTTTTTTTAAAACCATTTATTTCTCAACAGTCTTCTTTTAGCTCAATACACTAAGTAAGACGATATTCCAACTTTTTTATACCATCTGAATAATACGATTTTGGGAAACCCTCAAAATACGCGTTAGTTTTAGTAATCACTTCTTCGTTTGAGATGAATCTTTTTCCTGCGAGCCATTTTTTTAAGTTTGGAAATAGGAAAAAGTCAATAGGAGCTAAATCTGGACTATAAGGTAGATGATCAACCAATTTGGAGTGCATTTCACGTAATTTTAGCATTGTATCTAATTCTATGTGAACCGGTCGTTGTCTTGAAGAAAGAACACTTTTTTCTTCTTTAAATGTGGTCGTTTTTTCTTGATTGTATCAATCAATTGATCCAATAATGCACGATAATACTTTCCTGTGATTGTGGATCCTTTTTCAAGATAATCGATGAGCAATATTCCGTGTGCATCCCAAAATACACTGGCCATAACCTTGCCAGCCGATTTCACTGTATTCGCCTTCTTCGGAGCACTTTCACCAGCTTCCACCCATTGTTTCGATTGATTTTTGGTTTCAAGTGTGTAGTGGTGGACCAACGTTTCATCAACAGTTATTAATCGACGCCAAAAATCAACAGGATTACGCTTTATCATGTCCAAACACCGCTGTGAAGTGGTCTGTCGAACTCGTTTTTGTTCGACACTGAGCAAGCGCGGCACTCATCTTGCCGATAGCTTTTTTATATGCAAATGTTCATGCAAAATGTTGAACACACGTTCATATGATATGTTTACCATTTCAACAATCTCACGTATCTTGACTCGGCGATCATTCATAACGATATCGAGGATTTTCTTGATATTTTCTTCAGTAACCACCTCTTTTGGACTTCCTGTTGATGGTATTGTTGCAGTGTTAAAATTCAGCAATCCAATATTTTACCATGTAATCTGACCAAGCAGACTCACCGTAATGTTCATCGAGCTTTTCTTTTGTCTCTTTTGCCGTTTTCCCTTTGAAATAATAGTGTTTAATCACTGCACGAAATTCACTTTTTTCCATTTTTCAAGAAACACAAAAGTTGCTTACTTCAAACAACTACAATAAATAAACTAATCGATGAATTTGGGTGAAATTTTAAGAGCTGACGTTTGACAGATCGCAATTTCTAAAAAAAAAATTTTTTTTGTTTGTGATGCCATCTAGCACCAGGTAGCTTCAATATCAATCCACCCTCGTATTTCAGACATACCCCGCGATAAATCGCATATGGATTTGTAATGCGGCCACTCGTCTCTTAGATTTTACCAAACATTTACATATTTCAGTTTATTTATTATATTATAATCTAATATATCTATATTACCTATAGAAGTGCCGTACTTTTTAGGTATTCGATTTGGACTTCTACAAGTTAAAGTCGCTATAATAACTCTTATACAAAATTTCAAATTTTCTCTCAACGAAAAGACTACATTACCACTTAAATTGAATAATTCGCTACTTCTGTTGAAATGTGATGATGGAATTTATATTGATTTAGAGAGAATAAATGGAGGAGATCAAACAAGTGAAGAAAAAAATTAGAACTAAGTATTAACTAATTCTAGGTATATTTAAAACATATATTTTGCCACCTAATTATTATACGTATAATAACACTTTATTTTTATATCATATTTTCAATGTTAGTAAATAAAACAAATTGTCTCAGTTTTTAGAGTTGTTTCTGCCATAACCTAGTATAGGGTTAACGTACGTACATAGCTGTATTATACACCTAGGGAAATTTTTTGCTATAGTAGCAAAAAATGTATTAACCCTTAAAAAACTCTATTAAAATAGGCGACAACCAAAGTACTTTGCTACGGTTAATAAATTCACTTTTTTCGAATTCTTTTTTAGTCCCTAAAAACTTACTTTTTAGTTTTTATTAATTTTAGTGGTTAGAAAGTAAAATTTTACTCACTAAAAAGTAGTTTTTTATGGAAAAAGTAGGTTTTTAGTGGTTAAACAGTATTTTTCTTGCAGTTAAAAAGTATTTTGTTACCTTGGTAATTGTTAAAGAATTATTTTTTATATCTTAAAAATAGATTTTACTGGTTAAAAATTAGGTTTTTAGTGGTTAAAAAATAGTTTTTATTAATTAAAAGTAGTTTTTATTGGTTAAAAATTAGGTACTGATTAAGAAATTACTTTCTTTGCAATAAAAAAATATTTTATTTACCTTTAAAAGGTAGTTTTAATTGATAACAAATTAATTTTTGCATTTAAAAAATTATTTTTAGTGGTTAAAAAGTAGTGTGTAGTGGTTTAAAAGTAACCTTTTACCTTTAAAAAGTAGATTTTAATGATTATACAGTTAATGTTTACCTTTAAAAAGTATTTGTTGAAGGTTAACAGTAAATTCTGCTATTTAGGGCTGGTTTCTTCAGCTCTTAGGCCGTTTTTTCTATAAAAAATAAAGTTCAGTTAAAGTCGAAATACAAGAATGTTTTGCATGTATTAAATGTCAAATTTACAGATTTACCGAGGATAACTGAACTTTATATTTGTTCCTAATGAAACCAGTTATGTAAAAATAGAAAAAATAACTTTTTATCTGTGCATTAGAAACTATATATACAGGGTGGCTCATGCTCAACAGGACGGAGCTTTATGGGAAAACGATCAAAGATAAAAAATTCGTTTGGGAGGAATACGTAGGTTACAGACGGCTACAATTTAAAATTTGTTAGATGTATACAGGATGTCCCACATAAGAAAAAAAAAATTAGTTCATTAAAAATTATTCAAACAAGAGTAAACAATTAATTTCTGGGAGACTTTTTTTCCTTAAAAATTCAAATAAATCGAAAACTAATAATAATAGTAATAGGGAACCTTTAGTTAACTGACATTATTTTTGATGTAGTTTTTAATTCTAAAATAAAAAACAGGGTGTTCCATTAAAAATAATATAACTTTTTATATTTTCTCTTATGTGGAACATCCTGTATACATCTAACAAATTTTAAATTGTAGCCGTCTGTAACCTACGTATTCCTCCCAAACGAATTTTTTATATCTTTGGTCGTTTTCCCATAAAGCTCCGTCCCGTTGAGCGTGAGCCACCCTGTATAATTATTAGAGCAAAATTTACCTAATATATACCTACCTATATAATTTACATAAATTCTTATTCAACCTGTGGTGGAAATACAAATCAACATAGGAAAGGAAGGGTTTCAAAAATAAAAGAGACGATTATTTTGTAATATATTATTTATATTGCTAAATATTTTAAAAATGTATTTGAATTTTAAAAATTCAGTAGGTTATGTAATATTGTTATTTGATAATTTAAACTTATTTGTCTTTAGACGTATAATAACGTAAGGCATATGTATCAAGAAATTTCAAATGAGCAGTTAGTAGCTTTAAATTAATCCGGTATTTATTCTTTGTGAAAAATCCTAAAAGAAATTTTATTCTAAATATATTGTTTTCTGTTTATTATAATATAGAATAGAATAAGAAAATCCATGCCATTAGGATTATTAACTAAAATAGGTAGGAACATAAAAACATAACATTCTTCTATCTACCAGGTGGGCCATTCCAAACGATCTATCCTTAATATCTAGAAAAAAAAATTCTATTTTATTAATACTATCTCAGAAACGCAAATTTCGAATTTTAATAAACTTGAGCACCAGTCGTGGATCCTAGAATCCCCCATCCCTAGCTCAGTAAGTTAAGAATTTAAATAAAAATTATTGTCAGGTATTTTTGAGAAATGTTTAAATTTAGGTTTTTAAGGTCTGTAAAAGCTAAGGTTATACTGTTAAATGCAACAAAAAATGAATCAGTCTCCCGAATCCTTTATAAAACTGTCAAAATTCATTAAAAAAACTTACTTTTTAGTCTCTAAACACGTACTTTTTAGTTTTTATTAATTTTAGTGGTTAGAAAGTTAAATTTTACTCACTAAAAAGTAGTTTTTTATGGTTAAAAAGTAGGTTTTTAGTAGTTAAACAGTATTTTTCTTGCAGTTAAAAAGTATTTTGTTACCTTGAACAGGTAGTTTTAATTGTTGCAAAAAATGACTCAGTCTCCCGAATCCTTTGTAAAACTGTCAAAATTCATTAAAAAAAACTAAATCCGGAACATTTAAAACAGAAAACATTTAAGGCATGCGCATTATCAATTTCCAAACAAAATTAAATAAAATAAGGTATACTTAAAAAGATAAAAGTTTGCCATCTTTTCTACTAATTCTTATTTCTTATTCTAGGTTATTTCATTATACCTAAACGCTATACAGATGTGCATGTTTAATTTGCCAAAAAGAGGTACAAAAAAAAATAATTACAAAACATTTTTGTTTTCTATTTCTTAATTTAATAAAAATATCAAAAAACACTGCCATACATGTGTTTTTTTAGAAATATCTGTTAACGTCACTGAAACAAATAATTTTAATCTTAAACATTTAACCCTCAGTACTCAAAATAGCCTTCAAGTTCCATCAAAATAGAAAAAGGAAAGTCTGATATCTTAGTAAAAAAAACTTTGCAAGATTTTTCGCTTTAACTACTGTTTTTTTTTTTTTAATTAAAGTTAAAGTTAGGGATCATTATATTTGAAACCGATAAATTAGTAGATATAAAATACTTTTATATTATACGTTATGTACTTACCCTTAAAATTTTCAACAAAATCTTGAAGTCCCCAATTAGTCAGCTTCTCTGTGTAATCCATTGGAAAACGAACACAACTTATGCACAATTATTGCAAAAATGGCGTCAGACCTACGATTTGCCAACGTAACGTGGATGACCTTTGTTGGCGGCTAGGGTAATTATAACTAAAATCACAAATCAATCACCGGCTTGTTCTTGTCTGTGCCTGCCGATATACCGGGAACGGACTGAATGGAATACGCTGAATACACGAAAATTTTCTCGAGTACAGACGAAAAAGCTCTCGATCGATACCGATCGTTATTTTCTAAAGATATTTTTTATTGGACTTAAAAAGCGAATTGTTATGATGGAAAATATACGTATTAATATTTTGAATTTCTACTACAGAAAATAAATGTTTACTAATTAAAAACTATTTTTAAGAGCAAAAACTATTTTTGCTGGTTCTATAGACTGAAAAAAATATTTGCAAAGGTAACAATTTTTTTTTGTATGGTAACAAAACTAATTTAAAAAAGCATTTTATTTAGATTCATGAATGTATTTTTTTAATTGTAGATGAAAATTTATTTGTGATAGCAAGAAATTAGTCAACAAAAAACTTTTTAAATTTAATTCTCTCAGTGTACATTTTCAAAGTCTGTTCAGTATTTCATCGGCAAAACACCGTTATTATCCAGCAAATATTAAACTTTTAATACCATTTTGAAAATTTCAAAAATATTTACCGTTGCAATATCGTAAGCAGTTGTGGAGAGTTCTCAGATAGGAGAAAGGATAAAATGAAACTACTACAAAAATCTCACTCTACTGAAAAGTGTAAGTGTAATGTATATATCATAATTTTTTTGTGTATTATTTGTGTATATCTGTATATCAAAAATGTCTAGATTTATCGAATTAGTTCATAAAACAACATTTGCCTAATTTTTTTTTATATGATGTCCTACATAATAAAATCCTTCCATGGAAAAAATTTATTAAGCGCAGCGCCATCTACCTATTGAACTATTTAAAATATATTTATATCTAAAACGAAAGCTTTCTTAGTGCTCTATAAACTGGCTTTTACAGAATTAAAATATCTCTCTTTCTTATTAAAATATCCGGCCTGGAAGTTTTTATTGGTACACCCTGCATAGTACATATATAAGTCAAATAGTTCAAATATAGTACACATATAGCACACAAATAGTTCAAACAGTATACAATTCGTAAACATAGTACACAACTAGTACACGAAATATGTAAATAGTACATAAAATACATAAATAGAATAGAAATAGTACACAAAACATAGAAATAATACACATAGTATAGATTGCTTGTACATCATATAGTACAGCAGCGGGTTGCCCCTCTAAGAATTATTTTTATTTTCGACATACAAAAACCTGCAAACCCTTAATAATACTTAAATGGTAGCAATAAAAATAAAAAGACATTATGGTAAAGCTAGTGGATATCAATCACGGCTTTGTAGAAAACTGTAAGAGCTCGTAGGTATTCTAAAATACTATATTATAATATTGTAGTCTTAACTATCATACGAATAAAAATATTCTTTTTGTATAAATAAAAATCCCTTTGACTAATTATCAGTTTGTATGCGAAAAGTACTGTATTCAAATCTAAGGTGAAGATCAATTATTTTTTTTTTAAGTTTGTTATTTTACAAATTTGTAAAAATAAATTATTTTTCAATTAAATATTTTATCTTAACAGACTTTAATATTTTATTTTGTAGGATTTTCGTTAGTGAATCGTAAAAAATATATTACAATTACAAATTTATCTGAAAATAAACATTATTATTAGAATTAACATTTCGAAATTTTTAGGAAGTTTCTACTCTAGTTAAGATAAAACATTGTGAAACAGGGAAACAAATAATATAAC